CATAACTACAGCACCTTGTTTTTAAAGCACGGAGGACAAATCTCAGTGGAAGTCACTGGCAAACGGAGAAACAAGGGTATTGGACAGGAAATTCCTGCCTCTGATACCTTTAACTGCAAGAAGCCTTCAAAAGTAAAGAGGTTAAATTCAACTAATTAGAACTAATAAGAGACAAAGAGGATAAAGCGGATCTGTAGATGTGTCAATAGTGTCAGTGTCGGCATTTGTGGGATTTATGATAATCACAAATCTCGTTGTTTTGTCATTGCGTTACTGGCCATCTTAGAATTTCCTATTATACTGACGCAAATGTAGCTGTCATTAGGTCATTGCGTTACTGGCTTTAATTTATTATGGTTGGTAATAATATATACCATCCCACAAACTTAGAAATGCTCATATGAAAAGACGAACGAAATTATGAATTTCGCCGTTATCTTAACGATGTCGGCATTTATAATGAGTTGTTACCTGTGACGTTGTTCTGTTGTTACAGAATTGAGGGATTTTTATTCTTGTTAGTCTGTTTCTCGTTATTCGAGGTCTTTTATCATTTTACTGTAACTTTGGTCGGGCTGAAGACTTTGTTCGTTATATCGAAGTATATTATACATCGTTTCCACTGCGCTTTAAGGCATCAAATCGGAAGACCAGAGGATTGTTTGGTTCGTTGGCTCATACAAATTTAACTGAGTGTAATTTCGTTATAGATGGTATGAGCACATCCTCTCACTTTTACTTTACTTCCTTTTTTTTGAAGTGAAGTTGCAATTAATTTTTTCACAAAACAACAAAATTCTCACACAATAAATTATCTTGAAGACACTTTGTTTACATATATTGAAGTAGCTGAATTTTATCTTCCTTACACATAAAAATTAGAATCACAATGATATAGCAGTTGTCCATTTTTTAATAATCTTTATAAGTATTGATTGTTTACTGTGCAGGAATACCAGCTTCAGCTTTTGTTTCTTTGTTCTAGGAAATTTAATAGAATAAACCATTGAACTTTTTTTTGCAATAAGTAAATCAACAGAAAAATAAAATAACATGCTTCGTTGACATCTTTCAAAGGTTTCTCCCAAAGATAAGATTATGATGGAAAAATCCCTTTGTTATTCAAATTCTAACTAAACATATGGAAGTAAAAGATGATTGTTTAATTTTGTTTACTACAGTTTTGAATATTTAATTCCGAGGACAACGGCCGCCTGATAGTATCAACGAACTTGGAGGATTAGTTAACAACAAACTGAACTGTTAAATCATGAAAAATGAAAAATAACAATATATCTGAGTTTTAATTAAGATTATGCTGAATGGAGATGTGCATTATATATCATAGCCACAGTAATTATTTACTGTGGCTACAAACTGATGACTGGGTTGAATTTTATTTTGTGTTCTTTGAAATGTTTACATGTTCAACTTTCTTATAATTAGTTTCTAAGGCATCATGTAGGTATTTGACTATTTTAATCCTGGTCTTATAGACTTAATTATTTTAGCCCAAATAAGTAAATTTAAAAAAGCGTTATGGATGTTTAAACCACCCAAAGTGAATTTAAAATGAGACAGCCTCTACGTTTATTACTTGCGCAGCTTTAAACATCTGTGTGGGCTTTTTTTATCAACTGATTTGAGAATAGAATGAGTTTTGCGTTGGCAAATTTGGCGGCGTTATCTAAGCATGCATCATGATACCTCAATAGAAGGCCGGGAGACAATCACATGATATTTTTAGCAGCAAACAGAAGTCCACTTCTATGATATACGGTGGACTAATCAGGTTCTTTTTTTATTTTTTTTTTTTTGTCTAAATAACCAAAGAATTTTCGTTTTGCAATTTTATATTTATATGGTTTTGACTCGGGTTGAGTTCAGCATTTATAGAAATAAACCCGACTTGAACATTGGTTATGAAATACGAAATCTTACTATTTACGGAATTTATTTCCAAGTATTCTTTCACTTACAAAATCCAATCAAATAAAATGATTGCTATTCAGCCAAACAATTCACGGTTTTTTAGAGTCCAATTTTCCCTTGGAAAGTTCTGATTAAAATTCTCAAGTCTCGGCTGCTTATGCTCATGGCAAAGCTTCTCTCTTTTTCTTTGTGTCTTTGTAGTATGTCCGCGCGTCCTCTCATGACTGAGATGGTCCCGTTTTGCAGATAACACTGTGGCATTTTGGGAAAGATTCACAATTTACTAATATTTCTAATGAGTAAGGAGTAAAGAACAACTCGGAGAGCCTTGACACCAGTCAAACTAGGAGCAAAATAACCAGCTGAGACAAACAATTCCCTCTAAAGTTTCTCATTCACTTTCCTTGCGTTCAGCTGAACACAGACATACGCGCATGCGTACACTTAAATGAATTTTTTTATTGATAAGTCAATTTTCAACAACTTAAAATTGTCAACAAGCCTGATTTCTATATGAAATGTCCTGTTAAGCTGATCAAAAATGAGAAAGTTGGGCAAACAATAATAACTGAATTCTGCGTCAAGTTCTTCGGTAGGAGAGGAAGTGCAACAAAATATGTGAATATTTCAGTGACATCTTCCACGGCCTCCCAAAGTCTTCACGCAAATAAAAAAAGAAAATTGACGATTCTCAATCAGCTTTTTCTTTATTTATTTAGCAGGTACTTTTAACTTAGTGATTTTAAATTGTATTAAAATTTCGCGGGTACTTAATTTTGCGATTTTGGGGAGACGATATTTTACGGGGTTTTATTTTCGCGATTTCAAAAGGCAAATATAAAAAGGGGCATTAAATTTCAAGACTCAGACGTTCTCAATTTCATTTCGATTTTCAACATGTCAACTTTTGACGGCCGCACGAGATATATCCTAAGGAATTTGTACGAATTAAGAGAGCGATAAAGATGAAGATGAGAGCTGGATTCTCTGCACCATATGCGAAATCCTTGCAAATGAACGTCATTTCACAACAGAAGATAAAAATAGAAGTTACCAGTACATAAGACCAGTTAATGATTTGTGTATTTGTTAACACATATCCTATAGATTTTGTTGTCAATAAATGTTGATCACTTTTTTTCTGTGATTTGATTTTCTATAGGGAAATAATTAAATTGCGCGCGTTTAGATTCCGCGCGGGTTTTTATGTGCAGATCTTCAATTATAACAAATGGTGCTCGGGTGCTTATTTTCTTCAATATAGATTTAGATAAGGTAGCCTAATAACAATTTTCAGCAAATTTACTGGGACAACAGGACTAATAAACAGGGGTTAAAATACAGACGAGCACGTGAATACACAGAGGCACAAAAGAATAATATATAACATTGTTAACATGCTTTTTCATTGTGTTATCTTTGAATTCGCTCTCGTTAAGGTTAAAACGTTTTTCGTCGTCATCAGGTCATTTAGTTCGTTCCTTTTTTTTCTCGTCAATTTTATTTATTTATTTATTTAATCATTATTTATACGCGGAAAAAAAAATTCATCCGGTACAAAAAATTCCAATACAATGACTAATATCCTAAGAACCTAAAAATCCTAATCCTAACATTATATTAACTTACAACAATGTGCCACTTAAAAACCTGATTTCCATGAATGCCGTGTTTAAAAATTATGATAGAGAAGGCGTTTAAATTGGTTTAATGAACCAGACTCTGTAATGTTACAGGGTAAGCTATTCCAAAGGGTTGCGCCGCTATAACTAAAACTATTTTTCATGTTGTTAGTTCTTGGAAAGAGGACAACAAGTTTGTTTACCGAGCCTGTTTTTAATATAATATTACTGTTTCTTTAATATAACTTACAATTATATTAAAGGTTAGTCTTGCATGTGAACAGTGCTTAACTTAAGACACCGAGTCTTGCAATCGATTTTCAGTTTACAAAGTTGAAGGTATAAATGTTTTGATTCACAGATTAGGATGAAGTATTGGCGGGTGTTAAAACTTCCTTTCCAAAATAAGAATGAGACATTTGAAATGCTAATTATTAAACAAAGAGGAAATGACAGGAGGGGCCAGAGGCTGACTTCATTTTGTGAAAGATTTTCTCCTCTGAAAAAATGACTTACGTTATTATTTTGCCACAACTAGTGCGAACACTGTTTTTGTTTTTATCTTTTTTTTCCAGTTCAGATTTGTTAAGCACGTTGAGAAACTCTTCTTCAGAGGCTACCTGAGATAAATATATGTCGAGCCTCCACTTTAGCAACTTACGTATAACCTCACCAGCTTGAAACATCTGTTAGGGTTTTATTGATGTATACGTGAATAAAATATTTGTTGTGTTGGTAAATGCGACTGCAGCATAAAACACTCTAGCGGAGAAAGGAAACAAACACTATTCAGGTAATCTTGTAGCTTTTTTGTGTTATAACTGTTGTGAAATTAATTTAAGTAGAGTCTTATGCTACACTGCTGGAGAAAAATAAAAGGAAAAAAAAACGAGGATAAGAGAACATAACGCTTTGTGTCGTTATATGAGTAACTGACTTCTTAATAAAGTTGTGACGACGACGAATTTTTATTTCATTTACCGACGCAACTTTTTCATAAATAACACTGTATGGAATACTACTAGAATTGGGGTAGGTGTGACACAATGATAAAATAGCAGTCAATGGAAATATGCCGGATGTTGCTATAAGTCTCTTAATAACAAGAAATGTTTGGAAACAGCGTTAAAAATTTGAACTAAACAATTTTTATTGCAGGAATATTAACTAACCTGCACGTTCCATTTTAAGTTAAGTAAAATAGTAAAATAGAGTAAACATTCTGCGTTTGATATAGCCACGAACAGTGGCCGGGGCAATTTGTAGTCGTTAAGGCATAAATATTGTGGTTCAATTACGAGACAAAGAAAATAAGGTCGAAGCCGATGATGATACTGAATCGCAACGTATACAACGTATAGATATGCTGAGGTGCCGAGTAGAGGCTTACATATAAAATAGCTTTGAATTTATTTTAACACTCATTTGCTTTTCTTCCTAGGAAAGATGTCTAACATGTGGACTTTCATTTTTGTTTTGGGTAAGTCGGCTGCGCTTGTTTAAGACGTGTAGTTTTCACGAGCGAGCATGAGACACACTATAGTAGTTTTGGTTGTGAGAAAATTTATGAGGAAGTTTTAAGGCAAAGATTATTCTGATTTGCCGAGGTTAAGGTTGGATCAATTCTATCGGCAGAATGGCAAAAAATTAGCAATGTTGGAGGCGAGTATTATGTCAAGAAGTTCACGTAAAAAATATGGGCAGAACTAAGGGAAATCAGTAACATTATTTATACGCAGAACAGTTGTGGGAAAGTTCAGTGAAATTCATTGGCTCTAAATACAAATCTTATATTGTATACCTTGATAATTTCTCATTTTTTTACGGTGTTAATGCCTTTTAGCTGCTCATCTATTTTGATTATTACGACTGAGCAAAATAATGATATTGTGTTAGGTTTGAGGAATTTATATGCTCCATAAATTAGTTATAAAGGCGAAGGTTACCATCCATATTTATGAAAATACGTACTTTCCGAAGAGTTTTGGTAAATTTTCAAGTAAACTATGCAATTTTACGATGAGCATTGCAGTCTGGCGGTTAAAACTTTTATTCGAACGTAAGCTATCCAAGCCTAACCAAGGGCCATTCATAACATTTCTTAACAAGAACAGTGTTATTTGCGCGAAGATTACGTGTGAAATCCATGCTTACCACATAGATGACCAGTGACATTTGACTCAAGTGGCACAGCATGAATCAGTTCTTAATTACTGACTTAAAGGGTTGACATGCTCACTGATTTATGAAGAATAAATCCTCCTCATATTTCAGGTGTACCAGAAAAGTACAGGGAAAATTTTCCTATGAAGCTAACCTCAAAGTTTATCATATTTATTAATGAGTTTACATTGTCGTTTAATCACACGATAACGGAGGCTTAAAAAAACGAGATAGACAGTCATTAATGAACTAACTGTGCAAAGTATGTATACTTATTCCTCTGTGAAATTATGTTCTTTGTTACAGTTGCAATAATCGCGGAAGTATACTCCCGATATATCCCAGACTTTGATACAACCCACCGTCTTCAAGTAGAAAAAGGGCAATATGTGGAAATAGAATTGGACCTTTATATGGACTCTGACTTACCTGGAGCACCTTGTGCTGATGAGGAATATCTTGAGATCCGTGATGGGTATAATCAGTCTGGAAATCTTTTGGGTGTATTTTGTGGAAGATACATTAGTGACGTTACTGTACGATCCAGTGGACATAACGTGTGGTTAAGATTTTCACCTCACCGTAGACACCAGCAATGGAGCAGTTATGAGGGAAAAGTACTAAATGCAACAGGTAAGTATTCTTAGGTTCAAATGTTTTGATTTTCTTATCGGTATAATTTATTCTGGATGATATGTCTTATTATTTTTTTCTAAGAGGGCACGGTAACGAATCCTGCAATCTAATTGGTTCTTAGCGCGGTCCGTATTTTCCTATCTCTGCCCACGGGCACGGTAACGCTTTCGTCAGTCGCTGAGTACATCCCCACCTTCGCTGCCATTATTCATAAATTTATCTCGTTTTTCCGGCTGAGAAGTATTTTTACGCAAAGACGTCGGTTACTACCTCAAGCCGATGAATAACTCATTAATCATCACTTTTCACTCTCTCAAATCACTTTGGTTGACAGAAAAATATTGGTTTCGAAATGAATTTGTATATGCAAAAGTGTCATTAAATTGGTTGATAAGCGGCCTAAAAACCGTCTTTAATTAATTTTAATCCTTCACAAAAAGAACCTAGAAAGTTAAAACGTGAGGTATTTGGTTTCAATTGAATTAGTCGATGGAACTTTCATTCATTCAATATCTGAATTCTCTCAAACAATTTGTTCGTGGTGAAAGGGCGAGCGAAGTTTTCAGTTCTATAAGAAATACGCTCTCGGTGAGTCTCTCCGAGCCCGTTCAATTTGGACATTTGTACCGTAAATTGTACAACAGAAACTGAAGTAATTCAACGAGAAAAAGCCGCATTAAACCCCCTTGTGTCTAGTTGAAGTGTCTTATTCGAATTAAGTTTTTATGGAGGAAAGACCAGATTTACACACGCCACTGCAGCAATTGCAGCAAACAAACGGGCAAACTCTCACAACTTCAAAATAAAAAATTTGAATTTATTTACTATTACTTTCCTTGCCATTTACTTACTGAACAGAGATAAATCTTCGTACATTAATTAATCGTCGATAAGAGTGAATAATACTTTCCGTAAGATCATTGACTGTTTTTGAAGAAAACATTGTCGTGACAGTCCTTGCCAAACTAGTTCCGTTGTTTTTTCAAAGGTGAATATGCCCTTTTTTTTCTAACGCGCTCTCTAATTGACAGGAGTCAGATTGTGACAGATACTTGTAAAAATAATGTTTCAAAGTTTGTTGGAAGCCTTTTAAATCACCTTTATCATTACGCAAATGAAAATGTTACGTGAAGCTTCTCTCTTTAATTTGCATCACCTCTATTTTAACTACCATTTACTCGCTCAAAAATTGTTCAGTTTATGAAGATCTTGCCGTAAATAAAACCCTAAATCATTCGGGTTCTTTTGGAAAGAATTTCGTTAAGTTTGAGGAAAAAGATAAAAATATTATTCACCAGCCTAAGGTGAGTACCGCCTTTGGCCTACTGTCTCAGGCGGTACTCCAGACCTCGGGCACAGTTTATCCCAATACGGACCTCCCGGCTGGCGAATAACATATATTCATGTTTGTGCTTAGTTCCCACCGACCTAGAAAACGTTGCAAAGACTCAGTTTGTCCTGCTCAACCATTTGTCATCTCTGTGGTGCCCGGCGAAAGGTGGACCAGCTCCTCACATTGTTTGGAGAAAGAATGACGCTGTTGTGCAAAACAGCACTAGTGTGCGACTTCAAATTAATGTCACTGAAGAAGAAAGAAATACAAATTACAGTTGCGAAGTGGACGACCATGGCCAGTTGAAGAGGAAAAACATCAGTCTTGTTGTCGAGAGTAAGTCTCAAGTTACTTCTTTACTTCAAGGGGATCTCAGTTGTTGTGTGTGCTTTTGGTAAACCTTACCCTTTGTCTTGAGTCAATTTTAGGATTTTTGGTTTTAGAATAAAACTTCTACAATGTTATTCAAGGGTAACCTGAAAGTCATATTTATGAAGTGAAACGCAAAATAACTAAGCATCTATTTTTCAAATTATTAAAAGGTTAGTTTTCATGCTTTTGCTTTAAAAAAATTGTTAACTGACTCGATGGACCGCTGCCCAAGAAAAAGCGCCACGTAAAAGAGCAAGGATATTGAAAAGCGCTGCATCTAAGAGAGTGGCGTTCATTCAATGTACCATAACAAAGAGACGACTTGTTTACAAGAATTGCGTCTGTTTAATAGCCACTGTTTTGTCTTTCAACAAACAACGTGGATTTTCTTGTCTAAGGTACCATCTTGTCACAAATAGATTACGCTCGCCTTGCTCTAAGCAGATTATTTATTGAATACATTCTGGTGCAGTGTTTTTCTCATAAACATTGTGAAAGAAGTCTTGGGAAACGAAGATGTAGCAGCCGTTGCATCTAACTTAGCAGCCAAAGAAAGAATAGAAAGAGCCTCGTGTTTGAAATTGTACTGGAAGTCAGATATGCAATCTGTTACCATTATGAGGGGGACTGGTAAACCAATTAGGAAGAACTCCATAGTGCGGTTTTGTCAAAGAAATATATCATGTCTTAATCTTTCTCCACGTTAGAGAGAGAATCAAACCAGGTGTCAAATGATGTATTCCTCATATTTTGTTACTGTTTGGTTTTCATCGATTTCTGACCATTATTAATTGATTTATATCAATTTAAAAAAGGAAAAAAATTGAATTGTTGTATATAAATCTTTTATCATCAGTTGATCATGCTGAGAAACTAATCCAAATAACATCAAAAATGGCGAACTGATTTTCCCTTTCTCACGTGACAAAGCGTGTTGAAAATAATACTGTCTGCAATCGATCTGCATTTAACAACTTTTGCTGTGATGCCATCAAAAACTGTGCTGTTCAAACTATTGAATAATCGCAAAATCGTTCAGAATGGATAAATAAACAACTAGCAAAAGTCGCAAGTGACGTCAGTGCGGTTTTCCCCTGAGCTCAATTGTAGCGACCAGAAAGTGATGCAAACACCTGCTGTCAATTTTCATTTGAAAAGTGATTAGTTGACGGTACCATTGCTAACCTAAAGGCATTTTCCATTACTTCGACCACGCGAGAGGCAATGCACGCAATAAAATCAGTGTATAGAAAAGTAAGAGCTGTTTTTCGGTTAGGATAGCCATCTTTAAGTCGTTTGCCGTATACGTCACATAAGGAAATAGAGGATTAGTAGGTCGGTCTATTTGAATCTATTTGAAATTGAGAATTAAAGGGCCGGGTCGAACAAGAGCAAATTCAACAATTTGCCAATTTTTTGCGAACCAAACATTGGCAAAAATTTTTGCAATTTTCAATTTTTTTGGAGGCGGTCGCATCAAACTAGTATCCTTTGATCAAAACTTCATTGATTGACACATTCGTTAATCACGAACCCATCTCCCTCTAGGAAAGCATAAAGAAAAAATTCTCGCTCGAATTACTGGGCAAGAATGGATCGTCATCGAATGATTATCTTCGCAGCTTTCTTTCTCTGCAAAACAACGTTGCGTTTTTTATCTTGGTGGTACATTATCAGCGGGCTTCTATGCGGCTAGTATCAGCTCTTAGACGTAGAAGACGAAGACTTCTATTAAATAGAGCTCGCTTCCAAAACCGTCCTTAGTCGAGGTCTCCGCGTACGGTGGAGTCATGGTTCGAGATTGGGACCATGTATCGTATTTCGCTTTCTTTTTTCCTGTCGATCTTTTTGGTTGCAGCTTGCACCACTTGTGCTGGCTTCCATGATTCCATTGGAAAGGGGAATTAAAGCCGATTGTTCTCCAGATTGCCGCCAGTGACCGGGCCCTGGGTACGAGTCAGACATTCAGATAAAAACGTCGCTCAATTTCCTCGTTTCCTTCAAATGAAAACAGAGGGTCAGATGTCCTGCCATCGCGCGCGCCAGACTACACCAGCGGACCACAGTGTTCTTTCTCGCTTAAATTTTATCTAGACATGTCTTGCGTACAATGACAGCTTAATGGTTAAAAAACAAGATTGTTCGGTGTGCTAAAAATTGGAAGCCTGCAAGGCAGGACATCGGCTTCTTTGAAGATTGGCGAAATTTTGGCGATCCGCAAAAAGTTGGCAAGGTTTTAAAATTGGGGGTAGCACTTATTTTACACTACTTGTTGACAGATTTTTCGCTTAAACAAACAAAAAAGTTCTAATGCGACCTTGGCCGTAGTAAGTTCGGTCTATTTGAATCTACGTCGTAAACATGAAAAAATTTAACAAAATTTACACCGGATTGACTTTGCTATTCTCCTTATCTTCGAACAGATCAAACGGAAAATACCAAAGAACAACAAATCCCAATAATTAAGTATTTTAGATCATTTTCATACATGGCGGATAAAAATCATGTTCGTGACTATAAAGAGCTGTTTTGCACCAACGGCTGAATAGAAATTAAAAATGTGATGTGAAATATGTCTCCCATTTCGACGAGAGAGCATTTTAGTTTTGGATGATTTTGAACAATTTCAATTCAATTCAATTCAATTTTATTTGTTAGCAATACAATATTATCACAGTCCTAGGTGACCCGCAATTAGCAAGCTATTCTAGGCGGGCCACCCTTCTAAAACAAGTGCTGTCTCTGCTAAGGATCACATACCGATACAATTAAACAAAGATAATCATTAATAAAAATACAATTGTTAAATAAAATAAAATAAAATTAAGTCCGTTGAATAATTAAATAATCAATTGCAAAGTTATCAAGATATATAATACAATTGAAACAAGACTTAAACGAAGAGTTACTTTATCAAGAGATATTTACAAATTTCAGAGCAGCGTATATCAACATTCATCTCCTCAATTTCCAAAAGTTTTAACAGGCGATTTTTAAGTTCACGCTTAAACGGGGTTCTGTTTTTAATACGAAGTTCTTTTGGGATGCTATTCCACAATCTTACACCTATTCTAGCAAAAGAAAATAAAAGTTGGTTAGTTCTAGACGCTTTAACGTACAGATTAGCCGTTGCTGAGAATCTTGTGAAATGGTGATGAACCTGCTCGGAGTGGATAAAGAGCATAGAAATATTAGACGGGGCACGGTGATTATCAATGTCATGCATCAAAGAGGAAACCAAATGAGAATAGAGCATAGTTATTGGTAAGATTCTGGAGTTAACAAATAGCGGGGCACTATGAGATTTGCTATCCGCAAAATACATTAGTCGTAGAGCACGTTTTTGTAAAATGAGAACCTTATTTAAATGAGTGTTAGCAGCTTGTCCCCAGGCAATAAGACCATAAGAGATATAGGGTTCAATTAAGGAGCGGTAGATGTTAAGAAGTGTGGCAAATGGGACAAGATGTCTTAACCTGGCAATTATACCAATTCCTTTACTAACTTTAGATGAGATATAATCAATATGATACTTCCAAGAGAGGTTATTATCTATCAGAATTCCTAGATATTTCACAAAAGTTTTTTGTTCTAGAGATACACTTTTTTTAAGATCGTTATTATAAATTTTCAAGTGAACTATGTAGTCCAATTTGCGTTGGTAAGGATGGAAAATAACAAAGTTAGATTTACTAGTGTTAAGAGAAAGTTTGTTTGCGTCCAACCAGTCACCCACTTTTGCGAGTTCATCATTAACAACTTTTTCAAGATCCTTAAGATCTTTGTTTGAATAAAGCAAGTTAGTATCGTCAGCAAATAGGTAAAACTCAAAAATCTGGGAGCAACGGTAAATGTCGTTAACATAAATCAAAAAGAGAAGGGGGCCAAGTACAGACCCTTGAGGGACACCACAAACTATCTCTTCTATATTCGACACGGTTGAACCAATTTGAGTCGACTGGTTCCTGTTCAACAAGTACGAAGAGAACCAGTTATTAATTATTCCTCTGACTCCATAATGATATAATTTGTGCAGTAAGATTGAGTGATCCACCGTATCAAAAGCCTTTTTTAGGTCAATAAAAATACCACAAGAGAATAACTTTGCATCAATATTAGTTTGAATTTTGCTTAAGATATCTAAAATTGCATGTTGGGTTGAACACTTGTCTCTAAATCCATATTGAGAAGTAAAAAAGATACCGTTTTTTTCGCAATGTGATTTAAGACGTTTAGCCATCAATTTCTCAAATAATCGATTGAAGACAGAAAGGAGGGAAATTGGGCGGTAATTACATGGATCAGTTTCGTCTCCCGATTTGTAGATAGGAATTACTTTGGCATGCTTCAAAAGATGGGGATAAATACCCGTTGAGATAGACTTATTCATCATGGCAGCTAAGAGTGGAGAAAGGATATGGCGCCCAGATTTTAGAAGATGAACCGGGCAAGAATATAGGCCATATACTTTATTACTGGGTATAGCCAAGATTTCCAAGTCCACCTCGGATGGAACGACGGGATCAAAAAAGAAAGACTTAAAGTGATTAGTGCCGACAAGGTAGTCCTGGAAATTTATCCTGGAAGGTGATATATTGCGTGCAAGCCGCGGTCCAATAGACGCAAAGTACTGATTAAAGATATTGGTTATTTCAGACGGATTTTGTGTTACTCCAGAGTTGTTAGAGCGTTGAAGGGCTGATACTGTTTTTCTGTTACGCTGTCTGTTCAATAGTTCATTAATCCCCTCCCACGTTTTTTTAACATTTCTTAGATTTGTAGTGAAGTAAGCTTCATAATACAATCTTTTACTGAGACGAGAAAGACTAACAATTCTATTCCTATACAGCTTATATTTTGAGATATCTCCTGAATAAAAGAGTCTATTCTTTATTTTGATAGATTTACGTAGGCCCTTAGTTATCCACGGTTTGGAAAATTGTTTAGCCTTGCGCCTAGATAAA